AGAAAGAAAGAAAGAAAGAAAGAAAGAAAGAAAGAAAGAAAGAAAGACATGAAGTTGAGGAGGAAGAGCAGAAAAGGCGAGCCCTCCAGGCAGCAGTACCCTCAGGGGAGTAAGAGGATCTTTGCACACTCAGGAGCCCAGCAGGAGTTTGTGATGCCTGAAGCCTATGGTGAATGGGGCAGGTGGAGGCACAAGCCAGGACAGAGGAAGAGCATGTCTTGTCTCCTTGGATAAGGAGCTTTCGTTTTATTTTAGGGAGAGTTATTGAAAGGATGTAAAGAGGAGAGTAATGTAATTAAATGTGCATTTTGTAAAGGTGACTCTGAAATCAGCCTAGGAAAAACAATGGATTGGAGATAGAGGAACTTGTTAAAATGTCCTTAGAGTTTATCCCGAGGGATATAGAAAGGTCCTGAATTGAGGCAGCGAGTAGACTCAAATTGGAAGTTGCCTGAGGGCAAAACTCTAAAGAACACTCCTATTTCAGAGATGAGTAGAGGAATAAAGATAAACAAAGGAAATGGAGATAAAGGAGAAGATAGAAAAACAGGAGAAATCAATGCCACAGAAACCACGAAAGGGGAAAGTTTTCGGGGTTGCTACAGTAGTGTGGGACACTAAGGAGGCAGATAAGATCAAAACTTTGCCAAGAGCCCAGAGCCCGGCATCCATTGGAAGCCATTAGTCACCTTGGTAAGAGAAGCTTCAGGAGAAGTAGAAGGTAGAAGGTGTATTGCAATAGAGAGAGCAGTGAGAGAGGGTGGAAAATGGATTCTGCCTATACAGAAGCTTGATTGGAGAAGCTTGATTTTTCAAGCTTAGATTGACGGAGTGAGATGTACAGAAAAGGAAGAGAATCATGGGGTAGCTTTAAAAAAAAAAAAAAAAGGAGAGAAAAATTTAGAAGAGGTGTACCTGGAGCACATTTATATGCTATGAGGAAGAAGACAGTAGAGTGAAGAGATTCCAGAAAAATACTGCTAGAAACATGTCACCAAGCAACTGGGGGTGAAGAGGCAAAAAGAAATGGATGAATTATCCATTAAACAAAGTATCCCCTCTGAAAATGAAGGGAAGGGGAAAGGGGGCAGGGTGTGAGTTAGATGTGGATCCCCCCCGATGGCCTCTATTTTCTTTGTCAAGTAAAAGACAAGTGGAGATGGGAATTTATTGCTTAAAAATGAAAACACATTATTCTGAGGTGGATGTGCTTCTACCTGTAGAAGAGAAGCTGAAACGTAAGACAACTCATGTCCAATCCTTTGTCTCCATATACAATTTGTTCCATGAACGTATATAATGTGTTCACCTTTAAGAAAGAGTCATACTGTTGCTTTGTCTCTTGAAAATTCCTCCATTAACTTTAAGATCACATTGCCTATCTAGGACAAAATATTCATCCTGTGTATATTACAACATATATTTCATTTCAGTATTAAATTAATTTTCTCTTAAAGAAAAAGACATTTGAAAGTTGAAAGTGCTTGTGCCAGGTATGGAAACTATTTTTGGGTACATGGCAAACGATTGGAAGATTTAGGATCAAGTCCCAGTCTGTGGTCATGACCAAGTGGAGAGCAGTGGGGTGGTGGGGGTGAGAGGGGGGGTGAGCAGAGCCATCCCTTCCCTCTGGCTGGTCATTCCAGGAGCCCAGAGCGGCAGCTCTAAGGAGCAAAGGGGTATCACCCTGAGGTCTCGGGCAACCCCTCATGATCCAGACATCCACCCACCCAAAGGCAGTGGTTGAAATCCTGTTACTGTGGTGATTCTCTGACCAGGGGAGGCAGCAAGTATACTGAAGAAAGCCCAGGCTTTTTTCCACTAAATCCACGACTTCCTGTCCTCACATGGGCTCCCACAGCACTGGGCCCTTCTCCTGTTCCAGGGCCAACTAGAAAAATCTAAGGCATCAGAGACCTGGAGCTCATGGCACAGACCTAGTTGAAACTGATGGTGGCAATAAGAGGTTGTTGGGAAACTGAGAGAAGCAGAAGAGATTTCAATAACTGTTGTGAGGAATGGGAGAAAGAAATGACCATGAGCGCACAGCTGACTGTCGGTCAGCACTGAGAACACCTAGCTAGGCTGGGATCCCAGGGTGTTGCGGTGGTGACCACATATCCAGGCGTGGCACAAGTGTCACGTAGGAGCTGAGGTGCACCTGCTGAGAGAAGTCATGGGGTTGATCCAGGTGGGGTTCTGTTGGGGGAAAGAGAGAGCCGATACGTTGAGAGCCGATGCAGAGAGGGAAAAACTGCAGAACTCAGTCAGTGCAAGTTGAAGAACAGGTAGAGTGCGCAGGAAATAATGAAAGACTGAGAAGTATGGGATGATGTGGCCACTAAGGGGAAACTCAAGTTGTAGATTTCAGGAGTGCAACATTCTGGGCGTTGATGAGTTTCAGGGTGTGGCTTGAGCATTTGTTACTGTAATGGTAGAGAGAGAGGGTCAGGAGACTATAAAGAGGGAAGGTGACCTCACAGCTGGGTGTCACAGGACACTGAACTTACCCAAAATGATAGCAGAGCTTGGGGGAGTAATGGAATGACATCCTCAGAGGTCTGACCAAGAGAGATTTAGCATGGACTTGGGGAGGAGGGAGAAAGTATCAGAGGTGGTGGTTAGGTCTTCTATGCTACCTTACTTTTTGTGAAGATAATTTATACGTTATTATTATCTTCATCAGTTCTCATAGACTCATCCATATTCAGATATGAGTAAAAAAAAAACTGTTGTAAAACAAAATGTAAAAAAATTGGAGATGATCTATCTTTGTACTGATCGGACAACTGAAAGTTAACAATAGTCACATCTTTAATCAAAACTAGTTTTTATGGGGCGCCTGGATGGCTCAGTCAATTAAGCATCCGATTCTTGATATCGGCTCGGGTCATCTCACGCATGGTTTGTGAGTTCAAGCCCTGCATTGGGCTCTGTGCTGACAGCATCGAGCCTTCTTGGAATTCTCTCTCTCCCTCTCTCTCTGCCCCTCCCCTACTCATGCTCTGTTCCTCTCTCAAAATAGAGAAACTTTTTAAAAGTTCTCATTTCATTTTATTTTTTATTTTTGAGAGAGAGTGTGAACACAAGCAGGGGAAGGTCAGAGGGAGAGAGAGAGAGAGAGAGAGAGAGAGAGAGAATCTTAAGCAGGCTCCACACTCTGCGAGGAGCCCAGTTTGGGACTCAGTCTCCTGAACCGTGAGATCATGACCTGAGCCGAAATCAAGAGCCGGACACTTAACCAACTAAGCCATCCAGGCACCCCCAAAAAGGACTCTTTAGAATAGCTACCTCTACTTGTAAATGTCTGGGAAGGAAAAGATGGCAGTGTCTCTATTTTCCATGTTCGTGGTCAGATCTCGTGTTCACAGTGCTTCTGGGTGCCCTGCTCCCCACACACACTAAGTGCTGGATAAGGGAACCTGGATGTGTGCTGTGAATAGTAACATGATAGACACCTCAACTTCCTGTTCAATAGAGTTGGCAGTCCCTCAGGAACTCGGCAGTACGTGTGGGAAAAGAGACACAAAATGTGGATCTGAACATACAGGGTGGCCCCTGTAAAGCTTGTGTGGGATTCTTCTTGGAAAGATTAAAAAACAAAGTGGCTTCATGCCTCATAATTGGCAGGCTGCCAAAGGGTTGGGAGTGGCGTCAGAAGGGGGCAAAGAATCCGTGTGGGTGACAGACAGAGGAGACGATGATGGTTGGGTGGAACACAGAATGCTGGCAAAGATACAAGTGGAGATTAGCCCGGAGAGGGCATGGAAGCAAAGCTTTACGGTTGTCTGACAAGTGGAGAATTAAAAAGGAGAACACACACGCCCTGAAAATCATGGGCACTGCATCTGCTTGAATGCATCTACTAACCAGCTTCCGGTGGTCACAGCAGCGATGGCTCGAAGGCATGGATCGAGCACAGTGGCACGGAGAACACAGTGCGGGTCTCCCTGGTCCTTGGGTGAGTGGGATGCCCCAGCAACTGCTCAGACTTCACGAGCAGTATGAGCAATTCACCTGCTGACCTCGAGTGAACCATATCCCTGCCTCTTTCCAGCCCGATCTGCCCCCCTGCCAGGGTCCTTACCTGCCTACGTCCCCCACAAGGAGCTCTTGTAAGTGATCGCCCTGCAGAGCTACTGCTGGCAGGAGAGATCACGGGGCACAGCTGAGAACAGAGGAGGTGAACTCAGCTCTGGGGATGCACAGCGATCCCAGGATCACAGAGCTTAGAGGAAAAGTGGGTAGACTTTTTCTGCTGCCCACGGACAACCCTAAATGAGCTGCCTTCTCCTCCCACCCGATTATAGCTCTGCCTCACTGCCAGAGAGCACTGTCTCTTCTGGTTTTGGAGCCTCTCAGTCTGGTGACCCTGAACGTGGGGATCGCTCAGCTAAAGAAGTAAAGCTGTACTCTGGAAACACAGTGATGATATTTCAAAGATATCTGGGAACATGATTAGCAGCTATAAGAAACAAAAAAATCACCATTGTCTGGCTCTGTAGAAAGACACAAGCCCTTTTACAGATGATGGATCGAACAAGACTAGGATCCAGAGTGGAAATAACCTTGTGACATGGGAGGCCGCACTTACCTTGTGAAAGTCAAACACTTTTTCTGCAAAAAGACCATTGGCAATGCTGAGCTCATAGTCCCTGTGGGATGTGTTTATGTCGGAGAGAACTCTCTTCAGTTGAGACTGAAGTCCTGCCTGTTATTGAAAAGATTTATAAAAAAATGTGTTATGGGATGGCAAATATATCCACGCTCTCATTTACACATGAAATAAAACATTTATATGTTTGTATAAACACAACATAGCACAACATAGTATATTGTGCTATAAAAGAACTGAAAAAGAATGATGCTCATAAAAGCAGCAATGCCACAGAAATTTACGATTTCTTGCCCTTCTCGGAATAGTATCTGTGATCAAAGTTAATTAAAAGTTTTACTAAAATAATTAACCTCAGAATAAAATTCTTAACAGCAGATAATGAATCTGCCTCATATGTGTGCTAAATAATTCATTCTACCTCTCTAAGTTGGCCATGGATATCGAAGGATAAAAGCAAAACATTTAGTTCCATACTGTCTTGCCAAAATCCAGCCAACACATGGTGAAATATTGGGAAATTAACAATTAGCAAGTAAATTATCAAAACTTGTTCCTGAGATACCACAATATGGCAACCCGAGTGAGACATACTCTTCTGCTTTGAGGAGACAGCGAGCATAATTAAATACATCGGCGAGACAGTAATTTCTCGAATTTTAGCCCCACATTCCCCTTCCCTAGAAGAACGTATTGTCTTTACCTGAGTGTTAGAAGAGTTTCCCCATCCTGAGACCCTGTGGAAGTGAAGTATCTGCAGACAGGAAAAGAGAAAAGCAGTTACCAGGTCCTGATGAACGAGAAGAGACCCCACAGAACCAAGCAAGGAAGATACTTCATTGTGAACGGCAGTATCTGTGTGTGTGCTTATTAGCACACCGGGCAGCAGGGACAGGTGCAGCCACCCTACTGACATGGTTAGAACACAGATTACTCGGGGCAAGTGCCACCAGCTGGCAGAGTGAATAAATTGATGGCTACAAAATGAAATGTGTTTGATAACTATTTTGGTTTGCTCATTCTGGTGGAACAATCTTACAATTACTCACTGACTAAACGTAGACAAGGATCAAAACGAATCACATAAAAAACTGAAATCAAATAAAAAACTTTGGGGCGCCTGGGTGGCTCAATGGGTCAAGCGTCTGACTTCGGCGCAGGTCACGATCTCGTGGTTCACGAGTTTGAGCCCCGCGTCGGGCTCTGTGCTGACAACTCAAAGTCTGAAGCCTGCTTCGGATTCTGTGTCTCCCTCTCTCTCTCTCCGCCCTTACCCTGCTCATGCTCTCCTTCTCCCTCCCTCTCTCTCTCTCTCAAAAATAAACAGACAGGGGCGCCTGGGTGGCGCAGTCGGTTAAGCGCCCAACTTCAACCAGGTCACGATCTCGCGGTCTGTGAGTTCGAGCCCCGCGTCGGGCCCTGGGCTGATGGCTCAGAGCCTGGAGCCTGTTTCCGATTCTGTGTCTCCCTCTCTCTCTGCCCCTCCCCCGTTCATGCTCTGTCTCTCTCTGTCCCAAAAAATAAATAAACGTTGAAAAAATAAATAAATAAATAAATAAATAAATAAATAAATAAATAAATAAATAGACATTTAAAAAAATGGAAACTTTATTTACCTACGTGGCGGCCAAGATTAGGGCTAATTATGTAGGCACCAAGACGGAAAAGGGAGAAGTAGTTACTGAACATCTAGGAAATCCTGAATGTGAAGCAAAATTGGGACTTGAGAGATGTAATTTCAGCTTCTGCAATTATTTGGAATTAAATCATTTTAGGTGTTTGCTTTTCCAGTGTGGCTCTTATAATCCTAGTGCTCTCATAATTGCTATTCTGCCCAAACTTTAATGTTCTGTTGCACTTTATCCGAATTTCCCCAGGCCCTTATGTCCACAGGATCTGAAATGCAAAACAGCTTCTCATAAAGTGTTCTACGCATATGATACTCGTTTATGCAACTGTCGGGAGCAAACCGAATGTGTTCTGCCTCCCAGGCGTGGGTGGATGATACACAGAAACAGCTAAGATTTTCTGTAAGAAAGATGTAGGTTTTCCTGAAGGGCTCGTATGTGCTACATTTGAACCATATCCCTAGTGGGAGGTGGAGGGAGGGAGAAGGGGTGAAGTCCATTAGAAATTACGCATGGGAATTTAATTAAGTCAGTGCTGCTATTAATGCCTCTGTGCAGGCTTTCAACTTCAAGGCTTCAGAACCCTAATCAATAGCACCATCTTACTGGGTAGGAGAAAATGGAACAGCTCAGTAAAATATATGAAAACATATGAAGGCTATGAGTGTCACTGTTAGTCTCAACAGGTCATGGAGAATTGGAGCCTACCTCAATTTCTACATACTCTTAATATGGAATAATAATTAATGAGATGGAGTGAGAGATAAGGCGCAGGTAACAAGGCACGTTCAATATACAAATTGGTAGTCAGTTTAAAATTCACTAGCGGGGTCTTTGCAGGCATCAAGGCACCATGCCTGGCAACAAGGGGATCATCCCGCCATCCCTCACCCCCCAGGACTGTGCCATTGTGGAGCATGAAAACTATCAGCCTCCTTTCTCATTTTGCCTTGACATTGGATAGATGGGTATTTGGGAATATATGGATGTACCAGAAACATAAACTATCGTGGGACAGGGTCAGGACTCAAAAATGCAAACGTCTTTCCTGAACTAACTTTTGTGGAACCCAAGCAATATTATAAAAGGTGTCTGAATCCCTAGTCATCCTTGTTAAGTTTTTGAATGAAGCTTTAACAAGCACAAACATTTAACATCATTCTTTGATCATTTCTAATTTTAATCTATTTTGATAATGATCTGGCCATCTCTTCTGATATTCCCAATTGGCTTTTAGTAAACCTGACTGGTACAATATTGAGGTGATACATACATGTTTTTACATTTTCAAAAACTCTAAGAAATTGTACATTCAACAATAAAACTGCCATGACTAAAGATGAACAGGGACACTAGTAAATAGTCAAACGTAATAAATATGAAATAAAATATCAAAAGGCATAGATATCACAATCCAACATGCTAGCAGTCCTATTATTCCCTGACTGACCCATGTAGGAAAAGCAGAATTTCTTTTTCACGTTCATAACTGGTAACATATTCAGATAACGACAAACAAGGAAAATCCTGGATCTACACAATGTAAGATATTTCAGGATCTTTGGATTGAGGGTAAAAAAAAGAAAAAGACTGGGGAGCCTGGGTGGCTCAGTCAGTTAAGCATCTGACTTTGGCTCAGGTCCTTATCTCGCAGTTCAGGAGTTCGGGCCCCGCTTTGGGCTGTGTTGACAGCTCAGAGCCTGAAGGCTGCTTCAGGTTCTGTGTCTCCTTCTCTCTCTGCCCTTCCCCCACCTCACACTCTGTCTCTCAAAAATAAATAAACATTAAAAATTTTTTTTTCCAAACAAAGACTATGAATTATCTGCATCCCAACGGACTTCTTTCTACCTGTGTATTCTTGCCAAATGATAAAACTATTATGTCTTCTCATAGAAGTGGCAGAATAAGTAACATATTACAGTGATTATTTTTGAAATGTTTTTGGTAAAACCCAATTGTTTTAGAAAATTCAAATTTGCCTAACTTTTAAAAAACACTGTGATATAAAGACATGATTTAAGACAAAAATTTATGACATACTTTATTTCAATGAAATGTTATGTGAGAGAAAAGAGAGGAAGCAGGCATCTCAAAGAAAACAAAACTAAATTTTAGAACCCATTGTATTTAAAAAGCACAGTAATATTAGAGCTAAATGAAAAAATATGAACCTGAACACATGATCTTGTAAATAAATGTACTTTTCTGCTTTTTCACTCAAATGGGAATCCGCCTGCTATGTCACCTGAACTCCACTGAATTCAATGCAGATTTCATGCCGATTCTGGATTTCAGTACTGTTATCCAGTAAAGGAATCACATCTTTGCTGAGAGTAGCTGACCTGTCTTGAACCAAGGAAATTCAGGACAGGCCCAGAACACCGGGTCAGGTAGCAAAGATTTAGAGTCATGTGAAAGGACTGTTTAAAAAGGATGAGTTTAGGGGGCACCTGGGTGGCTCAGTCGGTTTAGTGTTGGACTCTTGATTTTGGCTCGGGTCATGATCTCACAGTTCCCGGGACTGAGTCCCATGTTGGGCTCTGTGCTGACAGTGAGGAGTGTGCTTGGGATTCTCTCTCTCTCTCTCTCTCTCTCTCTCTCTCTCTCTCTGCCACTCCCCTGCTTGCTCGCTGTCCCTCAAATAAAAATAAATTTTAAAGACAAAAAAAGGGACAAGTTTAAAGGGATTTCTCCTGGCCCAACTGTGACCATCCGAGCATCAAAAATAAAAAATAAGAATGACCACTGGTCCATGGCAAGGCTTAAGAGAGACAGATAGATGGATTCCACAGAGACTAAACTGATCAAATATACATATGTGACACACAGTACCAAGTGTTGGGCACTGCGACAAGAAACTAACTGGGCCAGGGTTGTGGGGGCAAGAGGGGGAAGCTAAACAATCGATTTCCAAGGAGGTATACTGCAGAGGACTAAATATTTGTACAAATGAGTTATGTGAATGGTTTTGTGCCTACAGTTGTCATTTTTTTTCCTCTTACATACTTCTTTTTTTTTATTTTTTAAATTTATTTTGACAGAGAGAGAGAGAGAGAGCAGGGGAAGGGCAGAGAGGAAGAAAGGGTCCTCTTACCTGTTTCTTATAAGAGGTTGTAAGAGCAGGGGCTATAAAAAGTAATTCAGGAAAGGCACTGATCCCGTCAGTGACTATAAAAGAGCAGACCCCAGCAATACAGGCTCTTTGAATTCACTGTGACCCACCTCCCAAGGGTTGACTGGTCCCGCCAGGCAGCTTGGGAGGGGGGCAGGAGAGGGGCTCGCAAAGAGACCTCAGGAAATGAATCAGGCAACAGCCCAAGAAAGTTCCTAACCTGACATCATACAATAACAAGTAACTGTGTCTTCTGTCGTGTTAAAGGCATGGTGTTTCATCATAGGTGTGAAGTCTCCACGTCTTTGGAATAGAAACACCTTTTAAGCTATTTTTGAAGTGGATACCAACAAGTCCCCCCTCCCCCCCACCACCCTATAGTTTACAGGTAAGGATACTGAGGCTAACACAGATGAACTAATTTTCCCAAACCAGAATTTGGATCTAATTTTCTAACTCCAAGACCAAGTTGCCTTCCTTGGTTCTAAAGCATTATGTATTTATACTAATGAATGAATACATTTTTATTAGTGGCTAGGTTCCCCCCCCACACACCCCGCCAAAGGCTTTATATTTATCAAAGCACTAACTTCATAAAAACTGAGGCTTTGTAATGATGTACTTCGGGCTGCATTTCAGTTCGGTGGCTTTAGGGAGAATGGTTCTCGACTCTTTTGATTCTGCCTCCTGGGGGATATCTGGCAATATCTGGAGACATTTTTGCTTCTCACTACTGGAAAGAGGTACCCGAAGGGTATCTAGTGGGGAAAAGCCCCTCACAATGAAGAACTATCTGGCCCAAAATGTCCAAGGTTTTGAAACCCTGATTTAGAAGGTCACCCTGAATTTGAATCATAGCTCTGCCACTTGCTAGTCAAGATGGCACGGGAACACACAAAATCAAGGTAATATTACCTACTCTGATGTCATTGCGAGCAGCAAATAAGATATCTGTAGAGCTCTGCCCAGAGCCTGACACTGACGAGGTTCTCAGCAGTTATAGCTGCTGTCATCACATTAAAGGTGCTCAGTGTACTTGGCTGGGACTCACTCTGGCTCTTGGAAAAAAATGGCACCCTGAGGCCTGTGGTTTTTCCCTAGCAGCAAATATTCACTGAGCTATCGGGAGAGAGAAGTGAATTATTCTAATAATATCCTAATGAGTAATTCTAAATTACCTGCACAGACACTCTTTAACAAGTGCTTAGTTGTGAAAGGTTACAACACGGACCAGCTTCCTCTAGCTCCAATTTATGAACGAAAATAATGGGGGGAACAAGGGGGCAGAAAGGGATGACAAAGACCTCCACGTGCAGCGTGGACCTGCTGTCTCACCTGCCATGGAGCTCCTACAACTCCCGAGAGGAGAGGGAAACCATGATCGTTTCACTTCCCCGTCCAGCCTGGTTCGGGGTAGTGTACGAAGGGTAACGTAAAAAGCGCTTTCTATGGCTGTTGGTGACAATGTGAAAACCACTCAGGTAGGCTGCTGTTACCTGGAATGTACTATTGCATCATTTGTGCCCAGGTCATTCATGTTTAAGTTGGGACTCTAGCATCTTCTGGTTGTGCTTCTTTCTCATCTACTTCTACTCAGGCACTGGCTCCCAAGCCTTTGCGTGCACCTGCAGAGTTTATTAAACCACAGATTGCTGGGCTCCATCCCCATAATCTCTGATTCACTAGGTCTCAGGTGGGGTCCAGCGTTTGCATTCCTAACAAATTCTCCAGGGGGCATCTGGGTGGCGCAGTCGGTTAGGCATCCGACTTCGGCTCAGGTCATGATCTCGCGGTTTGTGAGTTCGAGCCCCAGGTCGGGCTCTGGGCTGACAGCTCAGAGCCTGGAGCCTGCTTTGGATTCTGTGTCTCCCTCTCTCTCTCTGCCCCTCCCCTGCTCGCGTTCTGTCTCTGTCTCTCTCTCTCTCTCAAAAATAAACAAACACTAACAAGTTCTCCAGGTGATGCTGATGCAGCTGGTCTAGGAAACACACTTCAAGAACTACTTGACCAAGGTAAAGAATCAAAGCGACAGTTTATGCTCTTGCAGAAAACAATCTACCCTAAAAGATTCATTGCCGGAACCATGGGCAGTGGCACAACCCGAGACTGACCTTATCAATCTGAGAAGCACAGTCACCTCGTGCACCCAAACGGACCAGGGCCAGGGCAGTGAAGATGCTCAGAGAAGAAAAGAACACATTTCCATTCCCTTGACTGTTATCCATCTCTCTGAACAGGTTGATGCAAAACTCTGCATTTGCTGCAGCAAGGGAGGCCATTGCGGAACGGTGCGCAGCCTACAGAACGCAGAGAAACGGGATGAGTTCCAAGTACACCCTCTGGACATAAGAAGGTTTTTATATTCATCTGTTGTTTTAGATCTGAAGCTTCATTTCTTCAGCTTTGGAGGTAACCATCAAATAACTCAGAACAAAAAGAAAACGACTTCCTCTGGTCCAGTGTCCTTGTTACCAACAACTCTAAAACGATCCCGCCTGGCAACATCATGATACATTCATCTTTTTTTACACGGACACACGTTAGTGCAGTGTCTCCATGTCTCTGCCTCTGCTCTCCTACTCACATCCAGGACGGATTCCCACTTGTCCTTGATGGGGCATTTCTAGCACCGGTGGCCTCAGACAGTTCTGTTCTCACCTCCTAAGCAGACCCCCTCCTGGGGCCGTTTAGTGAATCACCTCAACTTCCTAAGCTGAAATAGAGCAAAAGTGCTCTTTGCAGTAAAACAAATATTAGGACATTAGACAGTCTATTAAAGAAGCTATAGTCCTTGCTTTCTAAATCTGTAGTTTTAAAAAAGGTTAACATTTGGAGATTGAACACATAATTTCCTACTCTCCAGTACAGCCACCATACATGTGCTTAGAGTGATCCTATATCCTAACTCTTTTCAGGACTTCCCCAATTTCAAATATCTTGTATCCTTAATCCTGTAGTTGTTATTTTCACACCTTTTTCTAATTTAGGGGGAATGGAAATGCTATTAGCCATATTATGAATCACAAACACGCACATGACCTTCCAACACAGAGGTCTATCTCTTACCAGAGAACCTAAGGTATAACAGCTGATTTAGAATCTAGGATGAAAATGAGGCTGTCTTCAAATTCTTGATAATGTTTCCGAAATATAGAAGGCTGCCACCGGCATGGAATTCTTCAGGTATCTGCTCTGGTATTTCTTTGCAGACTTTTTCCACAATGCTCAAACGATCAGATCCGCAGTCCCACAGGTGGGGTTGCCCTGACCAAATGGATTAACATGGATCCTCCAAATTATTCTCCTTCAATATTCTGTGACATTACACCTAATAGTGTGGCAGGTTCCAAGAGTCCCTTAAGGGACCCACTGCTAATCCCAAACTTGTTACTAACAGTTGTATGACCTGGGTCAAGTCTTTCACTTCCGTAACCTTCTAAATTTCATCTTATTCAGGGTTGCCTGGGTGGCTCCGTCGGTTAAGTGTCCAACTTCGGCTCAGGTCATGATCTCGCGGTTCGTGAGTTCGAGCCCCGCGTTGGGCTCTGTGCTGACAGCTCAGAGACTGGAGCCTGCTTTGGATTCTGTCTCTCTCTCTCTCTCTCTCTCTCTCTCTCTTTCTCCCTGTTCCCTGCTTGTGCTCTGTCTTTCTCTCTCAGAATACACATTTAAAAAAATTTTTTTAAATAAATCAATAAATGATTTTTTTTCTTCCTAAAAGACCACAAATTGGACATTTCCAGAGTGTTCCTGAGGAACCCATATTCAACACTTCGTAATTTCAAGAGAACATCACTGATGCTGTTTTGCAAGGTCAACTTCAGCTTTCATAATAGGTCTCCACTCCTCAGTTATGACCCCAGAAATACAGGGTGAAAAAATCATTCACACTCAAACACTCTTCACTCCAAGAAAGAACATCTATGTTTTTTAATAGCTACCCAGAAAATGTAATGATTTCACATCACATCCATGTAAACTAGGGAGAAGAGCAGTGGCAGCTGTGATTTTAAGAACAGAAGAAACCCCTTCCTTCTAGCAAAAGAGAGAAGGAACCAGAAAAAGGAGAGGACACGGGATGAGACATGTTGGACAGCTTTATCTAATGAGCAGTACTGGCAGGGACTAAGCCCCCCGACTTTTCAGGGGCTCAAAGTCACATTTTGCATCGAAAGGTAAGTATTGCTTCTAAAATAGTTTTTAAAATGACAAAATTGAAATTAATGAATATACAGTAAATATCCTTAAATTGAAACATAAGTTGGTTTCTATATTAAAGTTTTTACTCGTAAGAAGTTCTTTAATGTTAGAGAGAAACGGTGGGCTGGACTCTCTCTTTAAACAATTTCCAAGACTTCAGGTCGATTGCTGAAAAGCACAGTAAATGACATTATTCACTCTTAGGAAAGTAATTTTAAAAGCAAAATTATAATAATCATTTCCAAATATTCACAGTGAAAATTAGAGGATTGTGGGTTCATTTTGATACATTCTAAAGAATATATTTGGTATATTCAATATAATTTGAATCTTTAAGACCTGATAAATTGAAAGATTTAAAAATGGCCCTGTTTGGGGACCCGCCCGTGTGTCCAAATGGGGTCTGGAAGCTACTTGGTGGTATATACTAACGTAGAACAAAATTTCAGTGCTCTTTTCTTTGGTCAAGCCCCGATTCTTCTCGAGGCTTTATAAAAGTAAAGGGCGAGGGGGTGAGGGGAGAACTTTTCGTGTTTTTAAAAATCATTTCTTAAATTATTTTCTAAGCAATAACCATGAATATTCATTTTCTGCTTTTTTAATCATCCTGGTGACTTTTCACAAAGCTATCACCATATTGAAGAGAAGCTACAAGGAATGTGTTCACTGAGGCAACTGAGTACACATTTTTATGAGTTAGATAAATTTTATGGCAGAGAAAAACCATCCTAGATAAATATTTAAAAATGAATTCAGACTTTCCGAGTTCTAAATTTTCAAGCAATGACTTTTAAAATGATAAACGGTGGGGCACCTGAGTGGCTCAGTCGGTTAAGCGACTGACTTCGGCTCAGGTCATGATCTCACAGTTTGTGTGTTCAAGCCCCTCATCAGGCTTTGTGCTGACAGCTCAGAGCCTGGAGCCTGCTTTGGATTCTGTGTCTCCCTCTCTTTCTGCCCTTACCCCACTCATTCTCTCTCTCTCTCTCTCTCTCTCTCTCTCTCTCTCAAATATATATAAACTTCAAAATTAATTAATTAATTAATTAATGGTACCAGATCACTTATCCTTAAACATTCCTGTACAGACATGTTTATGCATTTTGAAAATAAATGCCAAAAGTATGTTTCCACTTCACATACTTGTTTTTATCTTTCTCTACGCAGGTGCACGGTTAGTTTCCAGGAATGAAAGCAAGATTCTTTCCTTCTCTTTTGATATAAAGTCTAAATCCCATTGGCAAATTGATAACTATATTTAAGGTCAAATTACTTTTTATACACTCCCCAGATTCCATCTGGTGACATGAATAAATACTAGCATTAGTATTTATTGGAGTATTATTTCCTTATTATTATAAGGAAAAGTGTGATTTTCTTTTCTCCTATAATTACTTTGCATAGCATCTTTTAAAGAAATAAACAAGCACCAACAGAAATAAGTTAATACGCACAAGTATCCAGTGATTTGGGTCCCAGTTAAATAACTGAAGGAAGTTGAAGAAGAAAATAAGTTACGTGAAGCCACAGAAAATGTCAGCATGACTCTACCCATTAGGCCATGGTCCAGACATAGCAACGAAGGAATATTCTTTCCAAATCATGACAGAATCTGGCTTCGGATCAATTTTTCATTCCACTAAAGATATACTGTATTCTTACATTCTTTACACAAACATTTTAGTTTAATGTACAGACATGAAATTTACAATTTACAGGTTAACACAAACTAACAAAGACTCATGATGGTTTTTAAATCCCAAACATCCAACTTAAGGATCTAAAAGTCCACAGGAGCCCAAAGCCCATTCGCTTACTTAATGGTATATTTCAATCCAAGAAATGTGCTACCCTTCTTAACTACATTTTTCATGTCAAAACAAAAGGATACATATGTTCTCACTGAAGTTTTTTAAGTCTAATAAAAGGCAAGAAAAATAATTTTTAAAGCATAGGAAAAACTAGGGACAAAACACACTAAAAAACCCCATGAAATTATAGTGATATTTTATGGACCCAGACTTACTATACTTGATTGATAAATAATGTGCCTTAAATGATTGATCAAAATATTACCTAATCTCAGGATAATTTTGTTTATACAAGGAAAAGCAATCTTACTTCATGGTACATTGTTGAAGAAAATAAAAACTCCTATAGTTACTGAATTAGAATACACACACTGGGGGAGGGAGGGGGAAGCAGTAGGTAAAAACTACTATTGAGCATGCTTAATTTTTATTCCTATCATAGAAATCAGATGTAAGGCTATCAGTAGTTACTTTTCTACCCAAGTATTTTCAAATCTACTTCTTTCAGAATATGGTTTCAAATTTTGATAACTCTGTCATCAAAAACCTTGCTGAGTGATTTTTAAAGTTCAGTTCTCATCTCAAAACTTAGTATATTCCAACCCATAATGCCTTGGAGAAAAACACTGGAAATACAGAATCTAGATTTGTACAGAATTCCCCACCTGCTATTTGTTTCTCTATTCCAAAATGGAATATGAGGTATTCAACTTGTCGCTGATCCCCTGCATGATGGTGCCTGCCATCCTCCCCACGACACCACATACACTCAGCCATAGGCAAGCCAGAAGACAGAGAAGCTGACGACAGGACTCGACAATGACTTTGATGTTGTTTGATGAGTTCAGACCCTCAGGTACAGTGAAACAGCCACTGTTCTCTCTCGCACTCTCTCTCTCTCTACCTTTCTCTCTTAACCTCTTTGACTCTCATTCAAAGTGTCTGCCAGACTTTAAGTTGTGGGCTTCAGAAATATTTACCTTACTCTCTTCATAGAGGAAGTTAGCAGCTGGTTGGGTGAGTCTGAAAGAGTTCCTTGCATTACTCTGAAATATAAAGCCTCTGACTCAGACACTCCCTGCTTCCTTTTGTGATGACCATGGAAATTTTAAATAATGGCATTAAAATGCAATTATGTTAAGGCCCTTTATAAAGCAAATGAAGAGAAATGTGTCACATATGTCCTACAGATCCAATTCAAAGTAGTCAAAACAGATAGGTTTTAATAGTCAAATTTTAGCATGGAATTTTATCTAATTTGATATCAACATCACATCGTATTTTTATGTAGTATATGTATATATTCATGTATCGTGGGACACCTGGTATTTTTCCATATGGAAAGGCTTCCTCCCTAGAGGAGGGCAGAGAGCAAAGAGCTGGAGGACAGAGTGCGGGGAGGCACTGCTCTGGCCCCAAGACTGGGGATTTCTGTTTTTGGGAGAGTAGGGGAGCTCAGTCTTTCAGGAGTCGTCAGGTTTTACTTCACATAGATAGTGTTTCTCATTTTGCCTTACACGCTATTCCTACAAGCGTTCGCCCACCCTGCCTTCATTTAGTTGTATGTTTTAATGCTAAAAGGGAATATCCTGATCTCCTGATCATTGAAAGTTGAAAGTTCTCTAAGGTGAATATCCCATCAGAGGGATAGATGTGTTAGAACGTATATAAAACATGGCGTAATACCTATCTCCACCGGAGAGGAATGAGCTGGTGATAGGAACCCTGGAAACTAAACAAATAACAAAAAAGGGTGGGGGGGAATATAATTGTTAATTAGTGAGAAAGCACAGATTCCACATGAAACATATCTCCCACTACACTTTTTTTTTAATGTTTATTTATTTTTTAGAGAGAGAGAGAGACAGAGACAGAGTGAGTGGGGGAGGGGCAGAGAGAGAGGGAGACACAGAATCTGAAGCAGGCTCAAGGCCCTGAGCTGTCAGCACAGAGCCCGACGCGGGGCTCAAACTCACAAACCGCGAGATCATGACCTGAGCGGAAGTCGGACGCCTAACCGAATGAGCCACCCAGGTGCCCCCCCCCCCTACTGCACTTTATAGTTCAGCTCTGGATAATATTCTCTTAGTTGTAATGATTTAAACAACCAAGTACTGATCTAAACAAGACTCATGATTTCTAAGGATGCTGGGAGGAAATTGTAGGGGGTGGGTGGGGAATGGGGAATCCAGGAAGCATATCTTCCTTCCATGAAACGAAGTCTACAGATAATCCATAAGAGTAAAATGTAAAACAAAATAAAACAACAACAACAACAAACCCAAAAAACCAAAAACAAAAAACAAAAAACCAAGCAACATTAGCATGGTATTGAGATATCTGGAGAAAGATACAAGCACTTGAGATTGGAGATAAGTATACACCCATGAAATCACCACCACAATCAATCATACTTTAATGAAGTGGTTTTAAAAACAGAAGCATTGAGAGTTGTTTTTCCTGTTATGGGAGAAGCAGGGTGAGAGGGGGAAGGAGGAGGGCACTGCTGGTCTACTCCATCAGCTCGGAGGTCTCCTTGGTCTCCTTTAGAGACCATTCACTGCTTAGATCCTATATGAACTTGGCAAATAGATGGATAAAATACTAGATCTAGGAATCCATTCCAGCCAGGCAACTCAACTAGCTGTGTGACCTTGAGCAAATAACTTCATTTCTCTGAGCGCCCCATTTTCCCATCTGTAAAATAAGAATTCAGATCAGTTCTATTTTTATTTTTATTTGAAAACATATGAATGCATGTGCACATACGTAGAAACTATATACACCAGTACAGCGTTGGCTGCAGGATGGGCCCTCGAAAATGTTAATCCTCCTCAATGCTCACTTTGCCTTTGCTATATCGTATTACCTGTGATTACACACAGTATAAGAAGTTGGATCACTTCAACTGTTTTTATGTAGCATTCTGCCTTCCAGAATCTGGAGTTTTACTGCTACTATCCCTGTAGTGTGATAGTTCCATCCCTCTGAAACAATACAGTGATACATAATATATGGAGATTTGGGGGGCACCTGGGTAGCTAAGTCAGTTAAGCATCCAACTCTTGATTTCAGCTCAGGTCATAATTTCATGGTCTCATGGGAACAAGCCCCAAGTCAGGCTCTGCTGAGCCTGGAGCCTGCTTGGGATTCTCTTTCTCCCTCTCCTTCTGCCCCTCCCCTGCTCTCTCTCTCTCTCTCTCTCTCAAAATATTTGAGAGATTTTCATCCTCCTTCATAGGAGGAATGGGGAAGGCTTTTAGGACTAGTGGGCAGTTGGGAGTGAAAGCTGAGAGTTAAGAGTGGGGGAAGGGACCACTGTTGGCATGGAGCTTGATATGTGGGCAAAAGAACTGAGTATTCAATTGGTTCCAGTTTGCCTAAAAGTCCCACATCCTGGGACCCCCTCAGTCCTGGTTGGATGCAAGAACAGTTCCCAGACCGTTGCTCATCTAGCCCACCCCAAAACTGTGCTCCACAGCAGGTCATGGTCATTCAACTCAAACTATCTTGAGACAGACATGTATTCCTGACGCTAAGAATATGTCCTCGTCTGCTCACTGATGCCTGAAATCACCGTGACTGGTGGGGTCCCAAGCCACAGTCAGAAGTAAGGCACAAAAGACTACACATATTACGATTCCCTTTATGAAAAGATCTGGCCAAGAAAAATTGCATTTTTAACGATGTCTACATAGGTGGGCAGACTATGTATGTTAAGGGAATGATTCCCTTTACTTAGCTCTACTTACCTCTTGGGGGAAGGAAGTTTTTGTTGGTGAAAGAACGAGGAGGGAGGTGTCAGAGGTTCTGAAAATGTTCTATTTGTTAAACTGTGTACATATACAACTGCATATGTAAATATGCATACATAAAACGTATGTATGTACTTGTATGTATCCAAGTTATATTTCATAATTTTAAAAAGTCGGTCAAAATACATAAGGAAATAAAATACCTCCGAAATAGGAGCAAGTGCGTTGTACATTAACTGATAATTGGTCTATTCCTGAGTGCAGATTTTGATGGAGGATGGGCTGGGGACCCTGAGCCCAAGATAAACAGAGTGGCAATGAGGTAAAGAGTAGGATGTCGGAGAAGGCCAAGAGACCGGACCAACACAGTGCATGATGGAGACCAGGGGTCCCCGTGTTCCCTCCAGCAACGCCCAAACCTAGCAATCCCTCCGGAGAAGTGACCTGGAGAGATTTCAGGCCTCTGCATGAGATCATTGGCCATTTTTCTACATCTTTCTGGAGATTCAGCAGGGAGCTTTCCTCTTCCCTACTGCAGCAGAAATGGGAGAAGCCTTTTGAATATGCAAATCAATAATGCATATTCATACCCACATCCCCGGTGCACAAATGCAGTGATGAGAATCTGATCTCCTTTTTCAAAGTGATGCATTCTCACAAAGGAAATATTTCCATGCTGCTCTGGACTGTTCAGCCTCCATGTGTTCCCTGCGCACTTAGGAAGAGGACAAAAGCTGAAAGAAGCAAGCTGAAAGCCTGAGTCACCACCCGCCAATAAAAAGAAACAAGCGTCCCTAGGTAGATTTTTTTCTAAAAACCTTAGGATTAGGTGTTAAAGGCTGTCTGCAGGTGCAGTCTACACCCTCCCTACCCAAGCACCTGCTTATTGATGTGTAGACTTACCTTCTGGGATGGATTCCCTGTGACTCAGAGCAAGCACTGTCTCTAAAGAAGCTAACAAGCATTTAGACCTTCGCCCCAGGTTTCAGAATAGTCTCTGGATAAAGACGGTCATTATGGGATTCACTCAGTTTGTATGTGAGTCAAATTAAAAAATTGTTTTTAATTTTTATTTGTCTTTGGGGGGGAGAGAAAGTGTGAGTGGGGGAGGGGGAGGGGCAGAGAGAGAGAGGGAGACACAGAATCTGAAGCAGGCTCCAGGCTCTGAGCTGTCAGCACAGAGCCCAACACAGGGCTTAAACTTACAGACCACGAGATCATGGCCTGAGCTGAAGTCGGACGCCTAACCTACTGAGCCACTCTGGTGCCCCAAAATGTAAAGGTGTAACTTGCCCATCTCTGTTCTTTACAATGCCAATGGTTTTAATGTAAACATGAAAAAAGAAATTCAGGATCTATGGCATTTATCAGTCTGTCTCAAAACATATCCTTTGTGAGAAGGATCATCAACAGATTAAAAAAAGACAGCAGAGACTCTGTGAGTTTTCTACAAAGTTTTATCACACCTTGTCGATGATCTCTAATCCTCTAATTCCTTTCAACCCTATCCTGTGTAAATGTGCTTAGCTTAAGGGCCTAAAATAGAATTTAATACAATATTTTCATCATTCCTCAGACTCAGATGTTCGTCTGGACCTCAGACTATTTTCACTGGTTTCTCTTTGTCCTGTCCTCCATCCTTCCCCTACTTTCCCTTTATCCCAGTTTTTTTCTGGCCCGAAATTTTCCAGAAACATATCTGTTGGGTTTGTAATCCCACCTGGCTTCTCTAGATGCACACCCTGAATGCAGCAGCCTCAGGTAGAAGCTGAAACTTGGGGTGTTAGTTCATTCTTGTCACTCAGCCAGACTCTTCTCCACCCTTCTGATCTGGCAATGGAAAGCCACATCTACAACACCTAGATTCTCCCTCCTAGAATACTGGCTAGAGTTCATCGAAATGGGTTTGCCCCTTGCTTAAGTGGCCACATGTAGACAAAGGTAGGTTGGGACCAACTGGGTGCTGACACCTTTACCATCAGAACATACCATACTGGGGCATACATTCCAGTGTCTGTGCTAACATCACATGGTTGAGCTCCTTGCTGTATCCACCCGCGTCTGCTGTGCACAAAAGGAACTACAAGCCTACTTCTTCTCG